GTTGGGTGATACTAAAACAATTAGACCCTTCGCCCTCAAGGGCCACGGGTCAATAGCCCATTCGGCTTCGCCTCATGGGCTATTGACCCGTAGCCCTTGGCGGGCTACAGGTCTAAATGTTAATTAGTGTGCAATGCACATGGCTGGAGGTCACTCACATAATAACAGCATTTTCTCATTTCTCTGACGTTTTGGGAGAACATCTAGAAACATTACCTTGCCAGTCATATCCAGGTTTAGAAATTGCATGAGAGAGTACTGAGCTTCACTTTTTGACGAGCTGTCACCTGAAAGCAGTGATGTGGTTAAAATAGGATATATCTGATGCCATACATTTTGTAACATGGATCAATATTGTGACATGACATGACATTGGAAAATATTTCCCTAAATGATCATGAAACAAAAAATATAAAAATGGATCTAAATTACTCTTTCACTCTTAGTTATTACTCTGCCAAGTGACACTGAATGTCACATAAACATTCAGTGTACACAGCAAAACAGTGAAATAATAAACTTCATACCCAAAAGAAGAATTATACATCTGTTAATTCAATTCACATATTAATTATTACCAATAATCAGCCTTGCGCCTGCAGCTTCAAGAATTGTGAAAATGTCAGATGGAAAATCAGGATGATCATGTGTCAACATCAGATTCCCGGCAATGCTTGCAACCTGCAGGATCCAATGTCTTTCATTAACATTACATGGAAGTCATAAAGCTATACAGAGCTATTAGGGGTGGGGAGTGGAATTAGGTACTGCTAGTTAATGCATGCATATATATGGCGAAAAACAATGAAAACTCAACTCAAAGACAATTAAATTTTGCATAGTTTCAGGGTGAGTACATTTATGCCTCTACAGACCCCCACTTCAAACAAGGTGGATTCCTCTTCAGCCCGATGCCAAATTTTAAGTCATGAACCATGTAATACATGAAGGCTTAAGGAAACTGGTTCAATCACAACCCATTTGATGCATTACTCCATGTAACTGCATATTAAGTAACTTGGCAACAGATATAAATTAAATGAAAACTAATCTTACTTACATTTCTTACAGGAACATTGGCTACCTTTGGAAAGACGAGACAAGAATATAATATGCCATAAGTAATATAATACTTTGCACAGTGAAAAAAATAATAGTTAAGGAACAGATCGTTGCATAAAGTGTTGAGTGCAGATTTATGCACTTAGTTTAATTATTTCTCTTAAAATCACAATTGACTTTCTTCAAAATATCTCATTACTATCACTATTGAAAACTACACATCAATTCCATGTATGTACATGTACATGTATCATAATCATGATCACAATCATCAGAGGAATGGTACCGTAGTACTTGCGTTCATATTCTCCTATTTTTGAAAGTGTAGTCCACTTTTACCTTGCGCACATGATCAGCCAACACTTTGTAACCAGACACCACACTTGCTTGGTCCTCCAATACCTTAATAAGTGTGTTCAGAGGCACACCAGCACCAATAACAACATCACCATTGGGTAACTGGAAGACAATTACAGATAGAGAACACGATTACCACAATGTTACTCAGATTAAATGCCAGAATGTTCAGAAATAATTGTTTTTCTGTTCTCAGAAGGAGAGACTGAAGGTAATTAGTAATCTAGACAATCTTCTTATGTACTAGACCACAGCACCAGAAGTCTTTGTTTGAGCCTGGCTGTTGTCTTCTGACTGAGCAAATGAGTTTTCCGAGTCAAAACTGAGCCCAAGTCACACATGAGTCTGAATCAATTGCAGCAAGTCACCACTAGTTTGACAAAAATATTACTCAATATTTCATGTGTCTTTTATCAAGTAACAAGACATTTGTACATGTAAAACCCAACAAAAGCTACAAGAAGAGTATATTTAATTGTCTAGTAACAGCAAGAACATAGATAATGATGAAAAAAAGACCACCTGAATATTAAAATAATAGCATACCTCAGTTTCACTTGGTATGGTGTGTAGCTGGTCAATTTCAGAGATGTCAATCATTACATCAAAAGGACCATCATTCTTATAAATACCTACAGGTACGTACCAAAAAAGCAAAACAAAAACATTTTGGCATTACTTAACAAGCACATTACAGTCTATCATAATCTAGAGTTAATTTGTTGCAAGCAATGTATGATGTATATAAATGATGGCTCATACCATTTTCTTCAAGACTAGAGAATTACCTTGATTTATTAGGTCAAGAATGCACAAATTGCTAAAATTGCTGTAAGTTATAAAATACCTTTTCCTGTATTTCCAGCCACCAGCCTTATCTTATCATCAGTGTGCTTCAACATCAGTGTATATAAATCAGCAAGTGATGTCGGACAGTACCACAACACACCACCACTTTGATGAACAGATGTTGTGATGCACTTTCTAGGGCACTGCATGCAACCATTGCCACACACACCACGACATTCGGTTATTTCCTATCATAGATAATCAATGTTTCGTCACTACAGATATAATTTGTAGATTCGTAACTGTTACTGCTGTAACTTGCAAAACAATTGAGACTGTTCTTGTGCCACTTTTAAAAAAAAGCAATTTTAGGAATTTAGTTAATTCCACCAGTCCACTGTTAAGTAGATCCATACATGAATGTAAAACTTACTCCATTGCTCTTACCAGCTAGCGGTTACCTGAGTGGTGTGGTTCCATGAACAGATCTTTCTGTTATATCAGTGTAGGATAACCAGGAAATCCTATTTACGATAGCTGCAGCACAATGAATTTCTTGTCATTGCATGCCAAATAAAATATGTAAACTTGCTCTTACCTCAATATCCAATGGATTTGAGGTTTTTGCAAATGTTTTCATTGCATCCAGAATTGGTCTGTAACCTGACAATGGCAGAACAATCATTATTAGACTGTTCTACTGAAGGCTTATTGCAGGATGTAAAACAGAAGGATTCCAATAAGCACAACACCATGTTTACCTGTGCAGCGGCAAATGTTTCCATCAAAGTTGTCTTCAATCTGTTGTTCAGATGGACTGGGATTCTCCTGCAATAAACTGAAAGAACCAGTGATATCAACAATTGTCAGTTATACATGTAGACCACCCGATCCCATCTACTTTGACTTGATCAAGTGATATGCTCAGACAGCCCAATCAACACTGACTTAAACAAGTCACATACACAGACAACCCAATCCACACTGACTTAAACAAGTAACATCACAGAGACAACCCAATTCACATTGACTTAAACAAGTCACATGCACAGACAACCCAAAGCACACTGACTAACACAAGTGACATCCACAGACCACCCAATACACACTGACTTAACAAGTGACACCCACAGACAACCCAATCAAAACTGACTTAGACAAGTGACATCCACAGACCACCCAATCCACACTGACTTGAACAAGTGACATGCACAGGCAGCCCAATCTAATAACCTGACATATATAACATGCACAGATCACCCAATCAACACTGACATGATATTTTACATGCACAGGCAGCTCAACCGACGCAAATCTTATAAATGACTTGACCAGACAACCCAATCCACACTGGCCCGATATAAGGCATGTTCATAAAATACATGTACAATCCCCACTGGCCTGAAATATTACTGATATGCTCAGACAACCCAGTCTACACTGACCTGATATGACATGTACAGACAACCCTTCCCAAACTGACCTGTACATATTCATGACAAACCCGGGAGAACAGTAACCACACTGGCTGCCATTATGCTCTGCAAGTCTCTCCTGAATTGGATGAAATCCATCAAAACGACTGGATGTAAAATAATACAATGATATCAATACATGTTTTTCTTACAAAGAATTTGCGACTGTGAAAACCAGTTACCCCCTTGCTGAAAATGCTAATGAAACCTTTGAATAAGCATGATAATGAAAAATACATGTATTTTAAGACAAGTTGCTAACACTAATAAAGATAATGCCTGGTACTGACTATGGTAAAGGGGCTTCACTGAGGGAGTCCAGAGAGGCAGCGTGGCCAAGTGGTTCAGGGCGCTGGATTTGAAATCTAGAAGTCCCTGGTTCAAATCCTCCTCCCTGCCGCTATCTCGAATTGTTCTTAGAAGTCCTGAGTTCAACTCCTTGACCGCATTGTGTAAATAGCTCCTCTTCAGTTGGGAATCTTACAAGCTTATGTCCTATTTTGAAATATTTGTCTCAGACAAATTTGCAGTGTCCCCAATTAACACAACTGTGCTTAATGCATGTGACAGTTAAATAAAGTTATTCTATTTACTATATTTAATAAAAATGATATTAACAGTGTGATTACTACAATATATAGTTGACTACAGAATCAAATAATAATTGGGCAGGTAGTTTAATTAATTGGTGAATCACATTTAGTGGTGCAATGATTTGAACAACATGAAATAAGTTTCAATTCTCTATTCTGCTCAGAAAATATGATCAATTGGTATTCATTGTGCTCTTTACAGTATTAAGTCACACAGTAAAAGCAGCAGGTGTACTTACTTCCCAATGCCTTCGACTGTTGTGACAGAGGCACCATTTACAGCACACAATGGAAATAAACACTATAAAGTAAATAAAAAACGTTTCTTTGCAGTTTGAAACACCACCAGGTGATATAAAAATAAGTAAAAAGCAGAATGAATACTTTTTCGCAGTTGATCCTTGCAAGTCTTCAACAAAGATTTGCACATTTTGAAAATTCTGCATTTGCTACAGTGTTAGACAAGCTACATGTACTTTGTTAATTGATCTCGTACTAATTGCACACTGAAATCTAGAAGATAACAGACTTACAAAAACAAAACCTCATTGACAACATAAATTATGCTCCTAAGAATATTTTACAACTTTAGTCGATAGAACATCACTGTGCAGGTTTTAACTGTTTTACAAACTGCCTGTCATTTTAATCATAAGAAAGAGGAAAGTTCTCTTACTGAGTTCACAGCCACTGTTACATCTTTACCAATGCTCAGGTCATGTAGCGTTACAGAAACCACACAGCAACCGCAGCCAGCCTCACGGCACATGACCTTTGTTCCTATAAATAGTAAAAACACACAGTTCAACCTCGTCTTAAATAATTCAATCTTGCTGTTATTAATGCCAATGCCTGCAGGCACCTAGATTATTATTTTTGTAGACTTTCGAACAGTCGCTCATGTCTCATTGAATAGTCTGAGCATGAACTCTCATCCACTTTCACTCACTCGTGCTTCCACTGACATTCGCACTTCACACTCTTCTCTATTCGATCATGATCCACGATCTGTTAGTTCAGTAAACTCAATAAGCAAGTCCGAAGTACCTTGAAGTCCTGGCTGATTTCTAATCCACTCATTCAAACTCATCTCAGGATCAGGATTGGCCACGTTATACTGTGCACCATTCACAGAGAATGTGATCTCAATAACAGGAGAGGGGACAGACCAAAATGTGACCTCTTTGTTACAGGTCTGGCATTTACCCTTGTAAAGACCACTGGACAGCACTCCATTCTCTGGAACAAGTCTGTAATAAGTAACAAATTGAGATACACATTCTTTCTAGTGTGTTATTACAAGTAATTATATGACTAACACCTGGAATAAAGAAGTAGTGTAGTATGGGTGTAGTAACAGCACAGTGCTTTGCTACAGTATAATTTTTTAAAGGTGTGTTAGTATATAAGTAATCGGATATAAACGTTAGTGCACTATTATTAAGGATGTTCATGCTAATTGTTTATGCACGTCCTTACTACATACGCAAATTCACATGCCACGTCTTGCATCAAACGTACGCTAAGTAATGAAATGAACAATGATAGGGCAGATGGCCATTGCTATAGCTTTGCCTAGAATAANGGTTATTTCCTATCATAGATAATCAATGTTTCGTCACTACAGATATAATTTGTAGATTCGTAACTGTTACTGCTGTAACTTGCAAAACAATTGAGACTGTTCTTGTGCCACTTTTAAAAAAAAGCAATTTTAGGAATTTAGTTAATTCCACCAGTCCACTGTTAAGTAGATCCATACATGAATGTAAAACTTACTCCATTGCTCTTACCAGCTAGCGGTTACCTGAGTGGTGTGGTTCCATGAACAGATCTTTCTGTTATATCAGTGTAGGATAACCAGGAAATCCTATTTACGATAGCTGCAGCACAATGAATTTCTTGTCATTGCATGCCAAATAAAATATGTAAACTTGCTCTTACCTCAATATCCAATGGATTTGAGGTTTTTGCAAATGTTTTCATTGCATCCAGAATTGGTCTGTAACCTGACAATGGCAGAACAATCATTATTAGACTGTTCTACTGAAGGCTTATTGCAGGATGTAAAACAGAAGGATTCCAATAAGCACAACACCATGTTTACCTGTGCAGCGGCAAATGTTTCCATCAAAGTTGTCTTCAATCTGTTGTTCAGATGGACTGGGATTCTCCTGCAATAAACTGAAAGAACCAGTGATATCAACAATTGTCAGTTATACATGTAGACCACCCGATCCCATCTACTTTGACTTGATCAAGTGATATGCTCAGACAGCCCAATCAACACTGACTTAAACAAGTCACATACACAGACAACCCAATCCACACTGACTTAAACAAGTAACATCACAGAGACAACCCAATTCACATTGACTTAAACAAGTCACATGCACAGACAACCCAAAGCACACTGACTAACACAAGTGACATCCACAGACCACCCAATACACACTGACTTAACAAGTGACACCCACAGACAACCCAATCAAAACTGACTTAGACAAGTGACATCCACAGACCACCCAATCCACACTGACTTGAACAAGTGACATGCACAGGCAGCCCAATCTAATAACCTGACATATATAACATGCACAGATCACCCAATCAACACTGACATGATATTTTACATGCACAGGCAGCTCAACCGACGCAAATCTTATAAATGACTTGACCAGACAACCCAATCCACACTGGCCCGATATAAGGCATGTTCATAAAATACATGTACAATCCCCACTGGCCTGAAATATTACTGATATGCTCAGACAACCCAGTCTACACTGACCTGATATGACATGTACAGACAACCCTTCCCAAACTGACCTGTACATATTCATGACAAACCCGGGAGAACAGTAACCACACTGGCTGCCATTATGCTCTGCAAGTCTCTCCTGAATTGGATGAAATCCATCAAAACGACTGGATGTAAAATAATACAATGATATCAATACATGTTTTTCTTACAAAGAATTTGCGACTGTGAAAACCAGTTACCCCCTTGCTGAAAATGCTAATGAAACCTTTGAATAAGCATGATAATGAAAAATACATGTATTTTAAGACAAGTTGCTAACACTAATAAAGATAATGCCTGGTACTGACTATGGTAAAGGGGCTTCACTGAGGGAGTCCAGAGAGGCAGCGTGGCCAAGTGGTTCAGGGCGCTGGATTTGAAATCTAGAAGTCCCTGGTTCAAATCCTCCTCCCTGCCGCTATCTCGAATTGTTCTTAGAAGTCCTGAGTTCAACTCCTTGACCGCATTGTGTAAATAGCTCCTCTTCAGTTGGGAATCTTACAAGCTTATGTCCTATTTTGAAATATTTGTCTCAGACAAATTTGCAGTGTCCCCAATTAACACAACTGTGCTTAATGCATGTGACAGTTAAATAAAGTTATTCTATTTACTATATTTAATAAAAATGATATTAACAGTGTGATTACTACAATATATAGTTGACTACAGAATCAAATAATAATTGGGCAGGTAGTTTAATTAATTGGTGAATCACATTTAGTGGTGCAATGATTTGAACAACATGAAATAAGTTTCAATTCTCTATTCTGCTCAGAAAATATGATCAATTGGTATTCATTGTGCTCTTTACAGTATTAAGTCACACAGTAAAAGCAGCAGGTGTACTTACTTCCCAATGCCTTCGACTGTTGTGACAGAGGCACCATTTACAGCACACAATGGAAATAAACACTATAAAGTAAATAAAAAACGTTTCTTTGCAGTTTGAAACACCACCAGGTGATATAAAAATAAGTAAAAAGCAGAATGAATACTTTTTCGCAGTTGATCCTTGCAAGTCTTCAACAAAGATTTGCACATTTTGAAAATTCTGCATTTGCTACAGTGTTAGACAAGCTACATGTACTTTGTTAATTGATCTCGTACTAATTGCACACTGAAATCTAGAAGATAACAGACTTACAAAAACAAAACCTCATTGACAACATAAATTATGCTCCTAAGAATATTTTACAACTTTAGTCGATAGAACATCACTGTGCAGGTTTTAACTGTTTTACAAACTGCCTGTCATTTTAATCATAAGAAAGAGGAAAGTTCTCTTACTGAGTTCACAGCCACTGTTACATCTTTACCAATGCTCAGGTCATGTAGCGTTACAGAAACCACACAGCAACCGCAGCCAGCCTCACGGCACATGACCTTTGTTCCTATAAATAGTAAAAACACACAGTTCAACCTCGTCTTAAATAATTCAATCTTGCTGTTATTAATGCCAATGCCTGCAGGCACCTAGATTATTATTTTTGTAGACTTTCGAACAGTCGCTCATGTCTCATTGAATAGTCTGAGCATGAACTCTCATCCACTTTCACTCACTCGTGCTTCCACTGACATTCGCACTTCACACTCTTCTCTATTCGATCATGATCCACGATCTGTTAGTTCAGTAAACTCAATAAGCAAGTCCGAAGTACCTTGAAGTCCTGGCTGATTTCTAATCCACTCATTCAAACTCATCTCAGGATCAGGATTGGCCACGTTATACTGTGCACCATTCACAGAGAATGTGATCTCAATAACAGGAGAGGGGACAGACCAAAATGTGACCTCTTTGTTACAGGTCTGGCATTTACCCTTGTAAAGACCACTGGACAGCACTCCATTCTCTGGAACAAGTCTGTAATAAGTAACAAATTGAGATACACATTCTTTCTAGTGTGTTATTACAAGTAATTATATGACTAACACCTGGAATAAAGAAGTAGTGTAGTATGGGTGTAGTAACAGCACAGTGCTTTGCTACAGTATAATTTTTTAAAGGTGTGTTAGTATATAAGTAATCGGATATAAACGTTAGTGCACTATTATTAAGGATGTTCATGCTAATTGTTTATGCACGTCCTTACTACATACGCAAATTCACATGCCACGTCTTGCATCAAACATACGCTAAGTAATGAAATGAACAATGATAGGGCAGATGGCCATTGCTATAGCTTTGCCTAGAATAATGATCTTGGATGTTCGGTGAACCCTATTTTTCTTTTGATGGATCATTTTCTCTACCAATTTTCTACATCTAGCAAAAAAATGAAGAAAACTGGCTAATGATTAGAAGTTGAATTTTTGCAAAATGCACCATCGGATTCCATTCTTTTTAACTCTTCATTTATCTGTGTGGCAGTTTCAAATGCCTCTCTGTTAGCAATATTTGGAATTATTAATGCAACAATTTCACTTATACAAAATGTTACTAGCATAGTTTGTCTCTGTTGATTCATCTTTGATATTTTAAGTTAAAAACCTTGGAGACCATGCTGATTCACATGTGCCAATTTTTCAAAATCAGCCTAGTTTTCCACACGCTTTATCTCTGAAGCAAAGTCCATTATTTTGAGGATGGCGAATGGTCCTCCGAAAACCATGGGTCTCACAAAATTTTTGCCGAAATTCATGGACCTTGCAGTCTCGTTTTTTTGGGCTGTTATGTGCGTCTCACAGTGTCAATTTTTTTCAAGGCTAAGAAAGTCGTGAAGTACAGATTTGTTTATTTTTTTTTATACAAGCTTAAATGAGTGAACATCTTATAACCTAAACGTCTCCAGTTTGCATTTAAAACACTTTGAAGTCTCAGTCTTCATAATTGAAACAGTCAAAATGTCCTGGGCTCGCAAAGAAAAACGCTAGTCTTGCCTTCCCGCAAAGTCTCAAATTTACCATTCAGCACCCCTCATTTTTGCACAAATGCCCTTAAGGATTTACACTATGACTGATACAGTTGGACCCCACCAATTTGAACTCTGTTATTTCAAATTCCCCATTATTTCAAACTCAAAATCATTTTCCTTGGATTTGCTCTTCAGTCATTTACTATTGGTTATTTCCAACTCTCACTGTTTCAAACTATTTTTCATTTCCGCTGACAATTCAAAATAGCGTGGTTCAACTGTATTTGAAAATAATCTCAATAGTGCCCCAGCATAATAGGCAAGTGCAATTTGAAAGAGTTTTCAAATATCACAAGTAGTGTAAATCTTTAATTGCTTGAGTTTTCATGAGATAACTCATTACGCATATTAAGAATGAAGGATAAACTGGCCTCCTCTCAGCCAATCACAATGAAGTAATTTTCTCAGCCATATAATAACTTTAGTAATTGTTCTCATATGGCTTGGGTTTGCACCCGATATAACACACACTCTGATTGGCTAATTCTAGGGCATTGTTCCAACTAATGCCCACAGGCCCATTGAGGGCCTGCAGAAACAAAGCAAAAAGCCATAAAATAAACACCTTATTTACCTTGAGCGTTTGGTCTATACGGGAAAATCTCAAACCTCGGCCTTACCATGTTGACCGAGCGATAGCCTCGGTTTGAGATTTTCGCGTGAAGACCTCACTCTCGGTTAATAAGTAGTTAGCATTAGATCCGGCAGATGATTATTGTTGTGCGATGCAATTTCGAATAAAGAAGCACTTGTCAATTTTATAAAGACAACAAACTGCACTCGGTCTTCGAGCGCTTCCATGTTGTTAGCCTTAAGAAAATTGTTTTGATTACTCGTGTTTGTCCTCGAAATCAGGTGATATTACATAATGGGCTATAACTACAGCTAGTGAAAATTAATGAAGAAAAGAAAAGAATTTAATCGTTAAACTATTGGTTTGCTTCAGATGACAGACTGTTCCACAAGACAGCTCCTTTGTAAGTGAAACGTTTCCAATAAAGATCTAACAGATCAAGGCCCTTTGAAATCTAACGTATTTGTATTCTACTCATGGTCCGTAAGGAGCGGTGAAATATCCTAGGAGGGCAATATCGCAGCGGAGCCTACCTTGCAAAACACTCGGGACATTCCAAGTGAGGCCCAACAGAACGACGTATTCCTCCGTCCACAGGCATTTTTAACTACAAGGCGAATACATGCATGGACGAAACAATCCGGGATTCCTACTTTGCATGCAGGCACCTTGCAGGTCATGTGACTTCATTGTCGCGCGTCACGACATCATCGTGAAAACTCATGACTTGTTTGAAAATCCTTTCAAAAAAAAATCCTTTACTTGTAACGGGCATGCAAGTTCATTGTGCCAAAATGGTTAATTTAGTGTTGGGGAATTAGCTGCAGTGAAACCTCCCAAGGGGATGGGGACAGGGCTGTAGGGGAAGGAGGCATGCACACGAATGGACCTTTCTACCATGTCACCCTTTTCTGATTTCTTCATCCAATCAAAAGGTTTGGTAAACCCCCGGGGGAGGTACTTTGGGAATTTCTGGGTGGGGATGTGCCGCTTGGACCCTGGAACCTTTAGCCTATACCAGAGCTAGTTCAGCTGAATTTTGCTACCCTATACTAGAGTAAACTCCCCAAATCGCCCCATCTATCCACACTGTTGAGGCTGATTTGCGTAAATTTAAACTTGCTGATTTGATTTTTTTATATTTTGAGTGGCAATTCCTGGTTTCCTTAGTCTAGATAAAACCTTCAACCAACTAGTCAATTTTGAGAAAAACGATATCCTATTCTAGACCCAAACGCTCTGATTTATGTACCGTATCCTAGAGTAAACTGATTGAAAACCATACCCTTCACAGCGGCACATACCTCTATAGCCCATATATGGCAGTGCCCCCTGGGGGTAAACCACACCACTCGATTTATTAAATACCGTGCAACGCTTTTCTGATTTCTTCATCCAATCAAAAGGTTTGGTAAACCACACCACTCGATTTAGTAAATACGTGCAACCCCGCCCTCCCCCCCTCCCTCCCCCGCTAACATGCATTTCTTGAAAGTTCGCATCATGATGGGGTCTCATATCTTTACGACTTCGCAACTGGTTCGTAAAGTAAATTGAACTATGGCGGTGATGTTTTTGTTAAGTTAAAAAATATGAAAAGTTGTTGATATTGCATGACATTAAAAGCAAAAAGTTCATTCCTGCCTCCCTAACAAGGAATGAAAATCACCCTTTTTCCCTACAAGAGGGGTATTTTAGATTTTAACTTGAGTTTTAACACTCGAGTCGGGTCGATTTATCTGGTCTTTCAAGCAAGCTAATTAGAACGAGAAGCTTACCGCACGGTGAAATTTAAAGTGCATTTTTGCTCATCAAAATATTGTGTTGACATGGAGTAGCGTGAGTATGGTTTTTTTTTAGACAACTGTAAGATCTCATTTTGAAATCTTGTGATTGAAAAATTGAGGGTTTGCATGATTTGAACGCATAGAAAGTTTAATTTGAGTGTTTGGCGGTAGTGGAAGAAAGTGAAACGCTGTTGTCAGCTTCGACCCTCGCAGTAAAATATAATTAGAGAATAATACATGGGCGCGGGTAGATATGGAAATTCTCTTCGAGTGTTCAACTCGCTATCTCACGAGTGAGCGCAGCTCACTCGTGAGATATCAAGTTGAACACGAGAAGAAAAGTTCCATATCTACAAGCAACCATGTATCATTTTTTTTATTACTATTATTTAAGGAATAGAAAACATGTGCCCTGTAGGAGTTTGGGAGAACGAGAAATGCTGTGAGAACACGAGCCGAAGATTGCCGAAGGCGACCGAAGAAGATCCGAAGATGTTTCGAGCATACATCAACAAATCAAAAATGATATCGTTTTTATGAATTTTTTTCACATTTTTATTACCATTCAACGGCTTACATCAATTTGTAAAAAGTAGGCTAAATATTAATAAATGGCCATTGATTGCGTTTACATCAGTAGCTTACGTTATACTACAAGTGACAAAAAAGAAAACTACACAAGAAAAAATTCATGAATGAATAACTTCCGTGATCTCAGGGAGCAAATCAAGTTAAATGATTTCTTTGGTTACTTACGTATTTAATCTATCTACATATTGATTTGATTTCTGGCCAGGGCTAAAGATCAATTTGATACCACTCGGTATTTCACTGGCGTTTATATAATAAATTCATTTTAAAACGACGTTGTCCTCGGCGTCATCGTATTGGTTACTTAAACTCCCAAGTCACTCCTATTATTACAGACCGAATTGTACTCTACTCAGTGCTATTACCATTATTAATGGTTCCGCCTTGTTATAAACCAAAAAGATTCCTTGTTTAGTCAACTTCACGTTTTTCATGGAACCGAGACGATACGTCAAACGTTTCAGCAAGTTCATGAGCGCGCGCATTCGTCACACGTACATTTGAGGGCGGGCGCACCTTTCCCTTCCTAGCAACAAGGCGCTAAATCGTGGTTTAAAGAACTGAACGTGAGCGCATCAAACGGGAGTTAGACACCCGAGCTTTCCGCCAGTTAGATATTTGTTGCTTATGGCTTGCCAAACTCTTCTTGGTTTATTTCAGTACGTGTCAGGCATCAAATTTATCTAAAATTGTTTGATTGACTTTAAAATGATTATAAGTAGATTGTATACTGTGCAAATTTGGGACTCATATTATAGAAACGAGTTGAGTTTGTTGAATTGCTCTCAAGGACTCTATGAATACCAACATATAAAGTTTTATGGCTTTCAGCTTCAACCCTTTATAAATAAACAACGCGGCCAAAAATACCGTTACAGAAAATACCGAGGTGATTGGAGTTGCAAAACCAGCTCAAGCAGTAAGCTTTATGGTCACTTAATTACCGCTAATTTCTTCATGATATGCAGCAATGCAAATGAACGCTGTGGATGAATATTTTAGACTTAAACAAACAGTAAGAAAATAACTTTTCTTCAGGCGTGCATGTGAAGTACAAACTGCGTTTCATTTCATGATCAGACACGTTGACAATCCGATTAGTTACAAGACAAAATTTTACTTCGTTTTCTTTATAAACAGTGAATATACTCCTCTCGCTCACCTAAGTTTTTCGTTGTGCAAAGATGTAAGGCTGTGACCAAGAACTACTTAGTATGACATCTAAAAAGGTCCAAGATTCTGAAGACTTACATTCAGTAAAGAAAAGTACTTCTCTTTCGGAATAGTGATCCGCCGTTGCATCAAATATTTACGGGAATATTCAACACTAGAACCATCTTAAAACAGCGTAGAATGTAAGGAGTCAAAGTACTGATAAACTAGTACACGAAAATTTTCACAATAGGATCGCTTTGTCTTTTCGAGTCTCTCTAAACTCGAAACCTGATTTCTGCATATGGCCGTCATGTGGTCGGATTGCGTCTGTGAGGCCTTTCAAGAGAGTTTTTTGGCGGCGGTTTTTGTTCATCTTCGAATCCCGGCTCATCTACACACAAATTGAAGTGATAGCATTGTTATAACTTGTCGCCTCCTTTAGGAAATATCCTCCATACCGGCCAGGATAGCGGAGGAGATTAAACGCATGTTTAAACGATTTTATGAGAACTAAGGTAGGGGAGTTTAAACTTGAAATGCCGCTAAATCCTCTCTCTTGATAAAGATTATCGAAGTTATAAACGCTTCCTACCAAGTTTCCGTGAATTATTACTCAGTAATGATAACTGACTGATGAGATCACCAACGGAGACAAATCTTTCATTACCAGTATTACCGCCGTAACTTGCCATTGTTTGATATTTTTTGATATAGATAAGACATAACAAAACCTGGAAACAGATTGTGGAATTGATGCAGACAACAAGTAGGAACCGTCTGAACTGTGGTAATAATGTCAGAGAAAAATAATCCCGCCCACGAATGCTATATATATATATATATATATATATATATATATATATATATATATATATATATATATATATATATATATATATATATAT